AATAATGAAGATTATCCCATGGTAAAATTGATTTTGTAAAAAATGGTTCTGATAAAATCATATCAATTGTTTGAAAATCTATTTCATTTTTATCTAATGATGAAATAATTTGATAATTTAATTTTATTGTAGAATTTAAAAGTATTGCTTCTAAACAATGATTTAAATGTGTATTTGATGATTGTAATATAATTAATTCAATATTTGGATATATTTCAAGTATAAGTAATGGAAGTAGAAGACCATCACCAAAATATAAACAACGTTTTATAGATGAACTAGAAAAAGATTTTTCTAAAACTTTAATATATTTATTACGACGTTTGTCACTATTGAATGCAGCCATAGCTGAACGACTAAGAATAGCTGGTATAAATGAACGAGGAGGAAATGGAGATGTACCAACATCAAAATAAAGACTATATTCATCATGAAAACAGTATAAAGATACCTAATATGTAAATAAGAAAAAATAAAATAAAATAAATTTTATTAAACATATTCACAACAATGTAACTCAACCATAAAACAAAAGATTCTTAGAAGATATTTTCGTCTATCAGACTTTTTAAATCTATCTGCATTGATCATATGGGTAAAAAAAAAAATTTAAGTTCGACCAATAAGTATTGTTGCTTGAGTTAAAGAATTGATGAAAAGATATCGATTGTGAAAAACAATTGTCTAAATATATATTTGAATGATCCTATTCTTTTTCTTTACTTAATAAATCTTTTTTTTTTCCTTTTCGTTATTCTTTCATCATATCGAGTTCAAAATATTAAAAAATGTCATAGCTTTAGCGGCAGATCAATTCGAGATTTTTCAGTATTTTAACCCTAGCAGCACCATTTACTTATTAAATTAAAATTATTTTTACTAAAATAATCCGCAAAGATGCTTCCGCGAAGTCTGATAGACGAAAAAATATTTTGCAAACTTTTATTTTTTATGAATGACTGCTCATGCAAGTATCTAGTTATGTTACTAAAATTTTTGAAACTTTCTGTGATTTTATTACACGTCATCATCCTATAAATAATTATTTATGTTCCTAAATTCTGTTTCCAATGGATTTTTATTTCTCTTAGTGTTTGAGCTCTATTCTCTAGAACAATGTTTTTGGCAACTCTGTAGAATTCGATTACCTTCTATGTGCTAATAGAAAACAAATATTTGACAACTCAAGTTTAAAAACTCACAAGTATTTAATCAAGAGGATGATGATCGATCTCAGCACAGTGAATTTAACTGAAATTATCAAAACCCATTCTCAACTCTTAATCAAAGCCAGTTGACAATGCGAAATTTAAGTAAAATTTTTTGTTACGATTGAATTAAGTGTTTAAAAAAATTGCTTCAGGCCAAAAACATTAAATCTTGGTAGCCTTGATATTTATCCGAGTTTTTTTTGTTTTGACTTTATTCGTCATATAGTTGGGGACAAAAACATGCATGCTTTTTGAAAAATGTTGTTTGATTATTGAGAAAATTGTTTTTTTTTCAATATGATAGCAAAATGCCGTAAATACGAATTAGTATTTCAAGATTTTGATCGTCAGAACTTCAATTCCAAAAGAAACTAATGACATATTCAGAATCAACACAAAAATTTACATCGAATAGTATAATCAATACTCAAAACTGATTTTCGTCAAATTTCGGCCTTCAGGAAAGCACAGATCAGAGTATTCGAAAACGACAGTGAGCAGATGTAAGAGACTGAAGTTTGATGAACATTATTTTTGATTGTTGAGTATACTATTCAATGTAGATTTTTGTGCTAATTCTAAATGTGATATTCGGTTCTTTTGAAACTGAAGTTTTGATGATCAAAATCTTAGAATACTAATCTGTATCTGTGATATTTTGGTACTACATCGAAAAAATCGATTTTCTCAACAGTAAAACAATATTTTTCAAAAAGTATGCATCATTTTTTTCCTAGCTATATGAAGAGTAAAATCGATAAAAAAACTTGGATAGTGTTGAGACTACGGAGCAGAGTTCGGACGAATATACTTGTAAGTACAAAAACCTGTAGTTTGTATTTTTACTTGCAGTACGTAGTCAATGAAAGACATTTCAAATATTAAAGCTTATTTAATTATGTAGTTTAATCGTCTTCTGAACTTAATCAAATTGAAACGAATTCCGAGCTTCTACTTATTTTTGAAAAGCTATGAGTTTTTTATATAAAGGATTTTTTATGTTTTCGATATATTGCATTTTTTAAATTATTAGTCACAACTTTCAGCTAGGTTTAATATATATATTCAAAAAATCTTTCATCAACATTCGATATTAAAATCCTTGCAATCAATATTTAAGAAATCCTATCGATGAGTCGAAAATGCAGCGATGTAATGATTTGTCCTGACTTGCAAAACAATGGATCTGAATTCACGTAGATTCTTCTTAGCATCATCAAAAGCTATATTTATCTATGATAGTAAAGTCGAACGAACATCATCATTTATAGACATTCATCAAAATTTTGAAGAAATTCAAACAACTAAAATAGATCATTTTTGTAAGTGTCCTACAGTGAATTTATCAGCATATGAGAGAAAAAGAAATTCTATTAAAATATTGTCATTTACATTTACATTTTGATCAAACAATGTCACGATGATCTTGAAAAACATACCAGAAATAGTCAACTTTAAAAACAAAGTTTATTATATTTATACATCAAATAAAAATGCTAAGTACTTTTCTCGTACTGAAGTACAGGTACAAAACTTTTTTTTTACACTTAAAAGTGCAAGTAAAATACTTTTACTTCCTATAATTTTACTTGTCCTATCTCTGCTACAGAGACTTGATACTTTGGGCATATTTCAATTTTTATAGACTTTTCTAGGTTTTTTTGTGTAATCTAATTTTCTAAAGTTTCACTACAAAAAAAGGCCGTCTGAATTTTTTAAAAACAATGTTTTTACAGGTACCTCAACAAGTTCTATCCAACTGTGACAAAAAATATTGCTCAAATTTCGCATTGCCGATACTTTATAAAGCAAAATCTTCTGTGTATTTTTTTAATATTTATTCTTTTGACTTCACAATAATGTATATTGAAGTGTAAGAAGATCAAATCTAGTACTGTCTGTATGAATGTTCAAAGCTCGTTTTCTGCTCTTTATTTATAATACCTGATCTTTTGCTTTGACAATTTTTGACTCTTGTGGATAATAAATTCCATGTATCCAATGTTCTCTCCATTGAATATTTTTAATTTTTTCTTGATCATCATAACACCATACAGGTATTGTACCTAATTGAATTTCACCTTGTTCATCCATATCAAGATTCCACCACATAATAAAAGCATCAATTCGTCCATCATAATTACATTGAATATTTTCAAGAATTTTTTCTTCAGTAAAATTATTCATTTCATTAATATGTTTAAAATTAAAATGAAATATTGGTATGGGTTTTGTTAATGGACGTATAGAATCTTTTAATTCATTTAAATTTAAATCAAAAATTGTATTTCCAGCTAAATGTCGACAATCATTGGGTATATTTATTCTTTGATTTTGTTGAGAAATATTTTTTAATGTATGAAATTCTTGTAGTACAGATGATTCAACTAATTGAATATAAATCGTAGCACGTGCTGGTATAATATGAAGATTTTCATTATCAATAGTTAAATGTTTACATGCTTCAGAAAATGTTCGTAATGCTCCTTCACCAATTAATTCTGTATCAAATACTTCAGCAATAATTACATTAATTCTATCACCTTGTAAATCATTTTCTAAATTAAGTTCAGTTGAACGTTTATCAATAACACGTATACGATCGGAGAGATCATTTTTTTCAATACATTTTTTAGCTATTTTAGCCATTGGTTGAAAAACTTCACAAGCAGTTATACGTGAAGAACACGATGTATTGTTTATTTGATTTAATGCTCTTGCTGCCATCATAGAAAGAAGACCTGTACCTGTACCAATATCAAGTATATGAATTTTTTTCATTGATTTTGAAAGATTTTGTAGAGTTTTAATAATTGCTTTTTCATATTGTATATTACGTTCATGATCATGAAGCATATCAGCAAATGCTGAACGAGCTAATTCTTGTTGATAATCAAAATTATCATTATCAACAAAAATCCATTCATTATTTCCTGTAACAATATTTGTGCGTGATGTAAATGTTGACATTGTTTGAAATTGATAAGATAAACGAATAGATTTTTTACTAAAATGAACAATTTGTTTTAAAAACATATAATAATATATTAAAAGTCTAAAATTATAAGTAATTCATTTTTCTTTTGAATAGTCGGATTATATTATTATTTATTGTCTCGTGATTTCTATTATTAGGATAGACGACTGATAGCTTATTTTTAAGTGAGAAATATTCAAACTTAAAAATTATACGAAGAATAGAAGTTTTTCAAGTTCTAGTTAGATTCATTTCGAAAGTTTCAATCAAATGATGATGATGATGAGTCAATTTGATTTAAAATAAATATTAAAATTATACTGTTTTTTACATGTTCTTTTCAATACTTTACAATTAGTATCGATTTCTAAAGCAACTAAATGACGAATTCTATAGACATATTAGACGATAGTTTTATTCATTTATCATCAATAAATATTCAATTTCTGGATTTCTTATTTATTCATCACATCATAGTTCAGAAGAAAAATGATTTTCATTTTATTCATTAAAAACTTTACAATAAAAATAACAAAGACAGGAAGAACGTAATCTATAATGGACATTTAACACTAACAACCATTCATTATATACCAGATACAAAATGGTAATTATTGTAACTGAATTTATACTGAGATCGACTCGACTTAATATTGTTTTTCCATTGATTAAAATCAACTTCTTCTTTTTTTTTCTTCATATGTTTGTTTTTTTCTTTTCTCAAAATAAAAATGAAATTATAATTTAATCAATTTCTTTTAAAAATTAAGAAAAATTACACTAAACAACAACAACAATAATAATAACAAAAATCAATAATTAATCAAATGAACAATACGAGATTGCATAGTATTTGTTTTACATAATGGACATGTTTGATTATCAACAACCCATGTATGAATACATTGCCAACAAAAAACATGACCACATTCAGGTACAAGTGCAACATTTGATATAGCTAATTCATAACATAATGGACATCGAACATAATCTGTTGAAGATGTTATATCTTCTGATATAATTTTTGTTTGTTTTTGTTTTTCTTCTTCAGCTATTAAATTTAATTGATGACGATGTTGATTTATGGATAAAGCAATTTGTTTTAATAATGTATAAGATTCAATAATATGTTGAATACAAAGACATAAACTAAGAAATTTTATTGTATGATTAAATTTTGTTTGTATTAATATACTATCAGATGTTGAACGTGTATAAATAAGATATCGAATACGTGTTAAAATTTTACTTATATTATAATAATAACCAGTTAAATAAAAAAATATTTTATGTATTCGTTCAATAAATGTTATTAAAAAACGAGAAATAAGTTCAATTGTTTCTAATGATAATTTTGGATGAAAAAAATCTTCAGCTATTGGACGAATAATAAATGATGTAAGAATATATTTTGATATTAAATCACCAAATATTCGAAAAAAAATCATTAATAAACGACGAATTATTGATGGTATTTGTTTTTTAATAGGATCATATTGTATTAAACAAATATATTCTTCACCAATTGTTTGTCGATTTGATAATGTTGTTGTTAAATAATATAAAAATCCACTTAAACGTTGTATATATGGTTGATAAATATGAAAATTATTTAAACCAAATAATTTTGTATAAAGTTCATTTAATTGTTGTGATAATTGACTTATCATATAACGATCTTTTTCTTCACTACGAATTATTTCAAATTGATTTGCATATCGAAGTTCTGCTGTAGACATTTTGATCTTTTATATATATATTTATATGTCTAAGAATTAAAATAATTAAAAAAAAATACTAAATTCAGTTTTATTATAATAATAATTCTTCAAAAAAAAAAACATTTTTTTGAGAATAAAAATAAAATTGTAAATATGTTGTATTTTTAAGAGAATATATTGAAATATCATAACAAATATTCAGACGAAACTTTCTACTTTTTGATTTTTCTATAAATGTCTTACCATAAGCCAAAAATCCGATAGAACAGTTATAACTCCATAAGGATGGCCTATGGGAAGAAATTCTTTCATATTTTTTCTATTCTCACTACGTCCTACTTTATAAGCAAAATATCATTTTGATCGACGATTAACAATTGTATATGCTTTGTCATAAATCAAAAAAACAAAAATCTAACTACTCTCATCATATACCTTTTCTCTTTATCAATTTGAATAACAATTCATCTGAAAGAGAAAAAAAGAAAAGTAAGAAAATCTTATATCACTTTAAAATGAATTTTATCTGTAATATTTTATATATATTTTTAAAAAAAAAAGCCAAGCATCAGAACTAATAATCCATAGGATTCAATCACATAATATAAGCATCAAAACAAAAAGTTCTTTTTTTTCATTTATCTTCTCTCCAATTAATATATGTAGCATCGGTACGAAATCGTTGTGAACAATTTGTTTCTTCTAATGTCATACCCTTTCGAGTTTTATCTGCATTAAACATTTCATAACCAGCTTGTGCAATCATAGCACCATTATCAATACAATAACGTTCATCAATAGCACATACAGTTGCTTGTCGTTCTTTACACATAACACCCATCATTTCTTGTAAACGTACATTACATCCAACTCCACCAACAATAAGTACTTGATTTGAGCCAACATGTGCTAATGCACGTTCAGTTATTTCAACAAGCATAGCAAATAATGTTTCTTGTAATGAAAAACAAAGATCTTCATTTGAATATTGATTTTGTTGTCTTTCTTTTCCTTGTTTTCGAGCTTGTTTATGTCCAACAATAATTGTTTTTATATGACTTAATATACCAGAAAATGATACATCCATACCTTTAACTGAATATGGTAATTGTATATAATTTTGACCTTTTTTAGCTAATTGTTCAATATTATAACCTGGACTTGGATCATTTGATAATTTTAATAAACGAGCAAAACGATCAAGACAATTACCAACAGCTATATCAATTGTTTCACCAAATATACGATAACGATGTTCAGAATAAGCTATTACTTGTGTATTACCACCACTAACATAAAGTACAACTGGATTTCGTGCACCAGTTATTAAACGACCCATTTCAATATGTCCAATACAATGATTAACACCTACGATAGGTTTTTCATAGAGTTGAGCAAGTGTTCGAACAACTGTTCCTACAATAATTAATGGTGCACCCATACCAGGACCTTTTGTAAAACAAAAAACATCAATATCAGCAAGTGATTTAATATTAGCTTCTTTTAATGCTAGATCAAGTAAATCTAATATAACTGATTGATGATGTTTAGCTGTTAAATTTGGTCGAAAACCTTCACCAGGGGGTGTTATATAAGTATGACGTGGATTTGAAAGAACTTGTCCATCACGAATTATGCCAATACCAATTTTATTAGCACTACCTTCAAAACCTATTGCTGTAAGAACCATTGATCTACAAATAAAAGGCTAATTAGATTATTTATTTGTCCAAGACATAAATAATTGAATCATGAGAAAAACACAAACAAACAAACAAACAAGTCAAATGTGCAGAAAAGCTATCGTTCTAACTATTTGTTGTAAACTAGAATCAATCTTTAGTTAATATAATATCATTGTGTTGTTTAAAAATATTTCAATAACAAAACACTCGAATTTATATCAATAATTTAATTCATAAAGGGTTTATTTTGATTATTTGTCATAAAATAAAATGAATTTTTGCATGTGAAATATCTCCATACTCTAACAAGGAAATCTCTTCAGGTGTCAAAACACTTTTCGACTGCGATGATATTTATTTGATGAGTGATGGTGAGTCATAGAAAAGTCTATTCCATATTTTAGGATAGAAAATACTAGAAAACTTACGACTTGCACAAACGAACTAATCTCATTAAGAAGTTTTTTCGTGCAAAGTTTGAAGTCGAAAGTCGATTTGTTACGTGACCGGAGAGGGATTACAACTTTTTGTTCAAAAAACTCAGAAAAAACATCTATAACGCAAGCAAAATGGCTAAAATAATCATGAAGGCACAAAGTGTTCCTCCGTATAGACTGTCTTTGAGGAGTTAGCTGGATCTCAACGTCAGAAAAATGACTGTAACCCGTTATTTCAGAAAATTTAATTTTTCGTGTAAGTTTAGTATTGAAAGCTTCAATACTGAATGCACCTTAATTAACTGTATACATTCACATAATTAGCATAACTAGAAATCCTAATTATGTCTATAATTTGGATGCCTCAATACCATTAACACTGTAGACGTATAGAATACAACTATTCTTTCAAACTTCATCTAACATCAATTGTATATTCATTCTTTTATAGCACATATTAAAAGTACATATTGATCGTGTTTCAATTACTTGTTTCATCTATTATACTTCTTCAAATAAACATGCGAACAAACAACTAAATAGAGTACAGACTATCGAAAACAAGGTATCTGAGAAAGCTGTAATTATTACGTCTTTACAATAGTATTTTCAGAAAACCTTGATCAGTTTTGAAAAAATAGTTTGATTCCATACATCTACAATACGAATGGCATTGAAATATTCGAAGTATAGATGCAGTTAGGATTTCTATTTACGTCGATTATGTGGATGTATACAGTTAATTAAGGCGCATACAGTATTCACGTTTTCAATCCTAAACTTACACAAAAATTAAAATTTTCGAAATAATAGCTTATAGTCATTTTTTTAAATGCTGAGATCGATCTAACTCCTCAAAGACATTCTCTATGGAAGAACACTTTATGCCATCATGATCAGCTCATTGAACTGTACAAAATAGCATAGAGTTAATTGAAAACGGAGATTCACACTTGAAGATCTTCTCTAGTCAATTTAGTTGCTGCACAGTTGCACCCGTGTTTGCTAAAGTACAGAAACAGACCGCTACAAAAAGAGTATATTTTGACAGAATTGATGTCTTATTGTTACAGCGAATGTGGATGTCAGTGTAGCCAGTGCATCCTATGCCAGTGACTCACTCTTCAATGTTTACAGCAACACTGCACATTCCTAACTGCAATAGAGAAAATATTTGAAATAATTTTATTATAAGAAAAATCCTTCTTTTATTCTGGAATAACTTGCGATTGAATTTCATCAACCACTATTCAAAAGAATCTTTAGACGACAAAGAAATAGATTTATCTAAATTAGTTAAAACATATAAGATGGATAATGAATTTTACTTGAAAAAAGAAAAAGAAAAAAAAACAAATTGAAATAAGAGATATAAGATAAAGAATGCAAACACCCTAGTGTCTTTTTATTGTTTGATCTTAATAAAATTATTATTATTTTTTTTTTGTTATTTAAGATGGTACAGATGGTTGATAATTACGAACAAGACGATCAAGTTCATTAGCCTAAAATAAAAACAAATTATTTCTTATTTTATTTAAATTTTCAAAAAAAAAAAGTACTTTATTAGCTAAATCTCGAACAAATGGATGATTTGCATGTGAATCTTTCATTTGAGATATATAACGATTCGAAACTTCAGTTGGTTTAGCTGTTAATTGTGAAAGTACAATTAAATTAATTAATGTTTGAGGATCATTGCTATCCTACAAAAAAACAAACAAATATTCAAATATGAAATATTTGTAACAAAAGAAAAAACTTTACTCGATCGAGTGCTTCTTGAAGTGCAGTTTGAGCATCATCATATTTTCCTTGTGCTATATGGCAAACAGCTTGTCCATTTAAAAGAAGTGGTGTAACTGTATGTTTATCAGATAATTCTTGAAATATATAATAAGCTTCTTGTAATTTTTCTGAACCCTAAACAATCATATGAACAAAATAATTAATTAACAAAAAGAAGAAAAAAGATATTCATAACATACTATAGCAATGTTTACCCAAGCTGTTGATAATTGAGTTAAAACAGAATCTTCATCCATATCTGTCATTCGTTTTAATTCTTTCCTACAATAGAACAATTTTCCGTTCAACTAAGCGAATAAAGGCGTTTACAAAAAAAACACATTCATAGATAAATAATTTAAAAGATTGGTATTAAAAAGTTGTTAAAATAATTAATCAACATACTTAGCTAAATCAAGTCGTTCCATTTTTAATAAAGCTTGAATTGTTAATGCACAACTAGAAATTTAAAAAGAAACAAAATTAATTAAACAATGTAATTATAATTTACCATTCTAATGAATCAGCATTATGTAAAACCTTGAGAGTAGTTTCATAATTCTAAATAAATAATAAAAAATAAGAAATAAAAAAAGCCTAACAAAGGAATCTCATCAGCTACCCCTTTTCGATTTCAATGACTTTTTGTCTATAGGTACTACATAATTTTCTAATAAAAACCGAAATAGATTTGAGTTTCTATCGAGATTTAACTAAGCTATCAAATTTTTAATCTGTCTATTTTTTACGGGCACCAGATTTTTCGAATTTTGATCTGAAACTTTGTGCATATGAAGATCTTAACTGAACTAGCTTCCATAAAAAAATTCAGAAGTTTTAAACAAAAACCCTTCGAGATATGAAACTTTCAATAAATGAATTCTTTGTCATGGAGTGTATGTAGCATGCATATTTTGAAAGCTTCATGTTTGGAAGAGACTTTGTTCAAAACTTATGAATTTATTTAACGAAATTAGTCCAGCTGACTTCTCTATATGCACAAAGTTTCAGATCAAAATTCAAAAATATGAGTTTTTCAAAAATCTGAAATCTCTAGAAAATAGACATATTCAAATTCAATAGCTTAGTCAAATCTAAATATGAACGCAAGTTCTTTTAGGATTCTTTATTGGAATACTATGTAGCATCTATTGGCAAAAAATTATAAAAATCGGAACGGGACAATTGAAAAGGTTTCTTTGTGAATCATTTGTTAATTACTTCGCTAAGATAATACATATAAGCAGTCATAAGTAAACAAAATGAATTTTTAACATTTCCACCCATTTTATTATCAAGATCACGTAGAATATTATCTCTAAAATAGAATAAAATCGTATAGTTCTTTCTTTTAAATTTCAAAAAAAAAAATACCGTTTAGATTCATTTGCAAGAAAATCTGCTAATAATCGAACAGCAACTAATTCCTCTTGAGATGCAGATGGACGAATTTCATCTAGTACAACACCATATTTTTTTTGTGCTATATATGAACGATACATAAATAAATCTTTTTCCGTTTGTAGATTTTGTGGAACCTGAACAGGAAAACAAAAGATTTCTAAATTAACTAGTTAATTTAACATAACAATAGGATAACAAACTTTCAATTTTGTTGCCTCATTAATAGTTTGTTGATAATTGCCTGTATAAAAATTTGTTCGAATTTCAAATAATTCATCTGGTTCATGATCTTCACGTGGCATTATAAATGATTATTTCAAATATTTATTGATGAGAGAGCGAGAGCAGAGATTTATTGAAAGTGAATAGTAGAATACATACGAACACGTTTTAATCGTTAATTATTGAATATTAATAGAACCATTCATGTTCTCGTCATTATATAAAAATTCACTAACCTCAATTATAAAATATATTAAAAGTTTTTCATTTTAAATATTATAAATTTAAATCTATTTTAAAAATTTTCGACTAGATGTCGCCAGTGTATTGTCTTCTTGCAGTATTTAAAAATTCTATGAAATTAGCTTTCAATAATTCATATTTTAGGATTGAATATTGCATCCACTATATCAATAGACAGCTAGAACAGATATTCATAAAAAAGGAAATTGATAAAGTAAAAATGGATTGTGATATTGCGTAACAAACATTTTCAAATATTTCGAAAGTTGTAACTCATATGACCACATGTCATAACTATGTAACGAAAGTTAACAGCCGATCCGAGTATCTTCCACGACCATTCTCCTGAGAGACTAAGCCACCTAGAACTCGACAAGTTCTATCTAATGGTGTCATCAGATCCCTCGAAACTTACATCTGAACGCCAAAAAAATCAAAAACATCCATAGGTAAAAACTACCATTTTTCATAAAAATTATGACGATTCGCCTGAGTACTTAAGCCACTCGTGAGTCATACGTCAATCGACGCAGAATTTCATGCTTTATCCAATGGCATATAAATTGTTTCGATAAAAATCTCCCACAACCGACTAGGTTCCTCGAAAGTCTCAAAAATAGGCTTTTCGCAAGTATTTCCTGTGACGATTCGCACAGAAGCGTAAGCCAGTTTTGAAAATTGTACTATTCAATGCAGAATTTCACGCTCTATCGAATGGTGTACAGCTTACACGCCTCACCATAAACCAAGAAAACTTGTAATTTCTACCCATAAATTCCTCTGACGATTCATTCAGGTACTTAAGCCACCAACGAAACATGTACCATTCGATGCTGAATTTCAATCTCTATCAAATGGTGTACAACTTGCACAGCTCACCATCAGTCATAGAGGGTTTTGACCTTAAAACTTTGAAAAACTCCGAAATGCTGGCATTTCTACCCATTAATTCTTGTGACGATTTGTTCAGGTACATGAGCCATCGATGATACTTGCAGGATTCAATTCAGAATTTCGCGCAGTATCGATTGGTGTATATGTCGCATGGCTGAATGCAAATGAGAGTCCACTTCAAAGGTCAACCGATGAAAAGTCGGGAAGATTGCTAATTTCTCCCTAATAATTCTCGTGGAGATTCGTTGTGATATATAAGCCGCTGAGGAAACGCATTTGTTTCGACGCAGAGATCGACGCTCTTTCTGACAGTGAACAGTTTGTATGGGTAAGCATCAATGTGATAGGACTTTGACACATAGGTATCCTAGAATTATAAAAGAAATTGGAATTTCTTTTCATTAATTTCCGTGACGTTTCGTTGTGGAGCATAAGTCAGAGGTGAATTATTGCGCATCTAATTCAGATTTTGCAGCCTCGTCCAGCAATAGGTCATTTTGGTGCCTAAACATTAATCTGAGGCGGCTGTGATACAAAAGAGACTTTCAAGCATAGTGAAAGGTGGTAAGCCTGAGAACCAATTATCAGGATTATTCGTCGAATTGAATAATGTAGCTGAACGAATCGTCAGGAGAGTTAGTGCAACGAAAGCCCAATTTTTCTTGTACTCTCAACGTTTGTATGGGGAAACGTCCTATCCGATTAATGGGTACACATGCAAGCTATACTCTAGAGGATCAGCTGTGAAATTCTGCATGCAACAGTGTATGCTTCGTCACCTGTTTAAGTACCAAAACAAGTCGTCAGCGGAACTCATGGGGAGAAATTCCAACATTTTTCAGTTTTCCAAGGATTTTAGGGAGACTTTTATCGAAATAATTTATATGCCATTGGATAGAGCATGAAATTCTGCGTCGATTGACGTATGACACATGAGTGGCTTAAGTACTCAAGCGAATCATCATGATTTTTATGAAAAATGGCAGCCTTTTTGCCTATGGATGTTTTTGATTTTTTTGGCGTTCAGGTGTAAGTTTCGGGGGATCTGATGACACCATTAGATAGAATTCGTCGGGTTCTAGGTGGATTACTAGTTTTATTTTGTGGCTTTGTCCCTCAAACTAATGGTCGTGGAAAATACTGGAATCGGCTGCTAACTTTCCTTACAATGATAAACTTCAATCATGCTCAGAAAAACGGTTTAATGGTGCTTGTGTTACTGTGGATATTGTTGTGTTTTAGTTTTTGATGAACTAGTTTCTGTTTTAAATTCGAATTTTATAAATTATTACTTATCAATATATAAAGATTTATTGAAATGTGTTTGCTATTATTTGAAAGTATTTGAAGAAACAATTCAGAATTAAGTAAAAATACAGTACCAACAATTCATGTGGGTGTCAAACATTTCGCACCAAGTCATTCTGAACTTCGAACATGTGTTCAAGTGTTCGGAAATGATTTTTTGCCATAAAAAGACGTTGACGGACGTTCGTAATCCTTTTTAAACAGGAGATCATAATTGAAAAAACGGAGATCAGAAGTGTGTCATCAAAAATTCAGAATGGAATGATCATTACTATATGTGAAGTAGGGTCTGGAAATCTAGTTGAAAAAGATCGAATGTTCGTAATCCAGTTTACCAGGAGATCGTAACTGATTTATTCTAATATTCGCAATGGTTATGAAGACTTTTCTTTCTTTTTTATAAAAATCAAGAAGAGGATTCATTTATATAATATCTTCGTAATTATATAAATAGCGTCTGTCTTTCTCTGTCTGTACTGTCAACGCTATAATAACTGTACAAGATGTTTATGACTCATACTTTAATCTATTCATAAGATTGATAATAGATAGCGCTAATCTCTCGGGAAATGAAGTACTATATAATTAAAAGAGTCTCCACGTTCAAATATTATTGGCTAGACGAGTGAGGGTGTGCGACTGTGGATGGGGGTGTGAGGATGATGGTCTTTTATCTACTGATCTTCGCCCACACCCATACCCACACTTTCACCCTCATACAACTTCACATCCTCACCTGTCGTTTGTGTACTATCTTAGAATAAAAACTAGTGACTCATTTAACATCTCTCGAGAAAGAGCAAACATGAACACATTTTCGAATACCCAATATTTTTTCATTACGATCTCCCTGTTTTTATTGTTACGATCTTCCATCATTTTCATTTCAAACTCCAGTCAAATTTCAGGATTTTATCTCTAAAAATCAACTGTCATTGTTCGTTACGATCTTCTGGACAACTTTCATTATAAACACCCTGTTTTTTAAAATTTTTGATTGATTTTTGTCATTCCAAACTCCAGTACACTAAATTCTAAACACGTTATCTTTTTCTTATGTCCGAAGATCGTAATGAAAAGTTGGAGCGAAATGTCCCTTTTCTATTCATGTCGATTATACCTATGCTTTTAAATGACCATGTACCTGACAGCATCGACACATATAGAATTGTTTTAAAGATTGTCTGCTATTTCTCTTATTACGTAACGAAATTTATAATAATGAATTTGTTATTTTAGAATTACTTATTAGAAATGTTTGGGTGTTGCACGACATGCATTATTTTATCAGCTGATTGCATCCTTGGTTTAAAAATTTTCGTATGAATTCAAGTTAAAAAAGACGGCTATTTTATTTAGTGAAGAATAAAATTTTGCAGCGACATTCATTATCAGCCAACGATGGTTTTTCGACAACCATCGCATCATCTGTTTTTATATCAACACTCGCTACTCAATTAACATGTTCCAATAGTTTGGCTTCAAAATATTTTAATTTTTCAAGAACAAATCAGAAGCCTTCATCAGCATCATTTCATGAGTCTGAAGAGTATATGAATTCAAATATTTAGTTAGATGGAAATAATGATATATTAATGTTTTGGTTACAACGCCAACCAGAATTTCCTATTTTAGCATCGATTGTACAGAACTATTATGCTATACCAGCAGCAAATACTATAGTAGAGCGACTTTTTTCATCCTCAAAAGATACAATAAGTGATAAACACACCAAACTTGGGGCTGGAATAGTAAACGAGTTACTGTTTCTGCAAAAAAAAACTTATTGACATTCAGAAATTTTGATAAAACAACAGTAAATGAAGTTATTAATGCTCAAATGAAAGGAAAAACAACTGAACCGTCTCATGTTCAACATCATTTCAAAATCAAGAACAAATGATGGTATAGATAGCAAAGAGAATGAACGTGGCTCATTAAGATAATATCTTTACTTGTGACGATGATAACGAAGAAAATAAAGAAAATAATAGAACTGATTTTTTTAAAGAGTTATTTGTATCTGAATAGGTATATCTTGAACACGTTATTTTGTAAAAAGTTTTCTTGTTGTCTTAATCTCTTTTGTACGTTTTGAACAAAATGCTTTTTCAATAAACATGATGTGTCTTTACCATCAAGAATTTAATTATGTAAATTTCTCAAAAATATTTTGTGTGTATCTATGCTTTAACAGTTTCGGCTCCACATGATATTTTGGGAACCGAGTTGAGACTGCCTTGTTTCTCTTTTTTACTACTCAAAACCGAACGAGAACCGCGGTTTCAGTTCCAGATAATCTTTGGAACCGCCGAACTCTAGTTTGATGAATGTGACATTTCTTCGACAAATAAATCTTTCCATGGATAAATATTAAAATCAACGACAATTGAGCTAACTTTTGTTAATAACAGTATTCCTATGGCGCAAATAAGGAAAATAACTTCTGACGAGAAACAGGGATGGACAAAAAACGTCCTTTGTGAGAGTTTAGGTAATTAATTTGAAATTGAGGGTTTCTGTGTACATGCTTATATAAAAACAAAGATTATGCTCGTTATGATTTAAAGTTTATGAACTCATTTTTCATGAACGCTAGGTGAATTCATCTGTTTCATGATAGATGAATATTGAT